AAAATGTGTAACAGTGCATGAATGTGGAATATACTCAAAAATTCAAGCCTGCTTTCTTTGTGCTAAAAAAATGCAGACCAGTGATGTTAAAACATTTGCAATGTATGGTTGATACAATATTTATCCCTATTTATCCATTGTATACTTAGAATGGAAATATTAAGTATCCCAATTTCATTTTACAAGGAGTGCAAACCATGGCACAGATCTTATTAAATGTCACACAATTTCTCCGATCAAACACAGATAAGCAACACTTTCTGGTTTTGCAGTACGTATTGTTGATCCACATCACTCTAAAAACATTTGGTTTGAGGAGTAAGAAACAAGGCAGCAAGCTTTTCAGAACTAAGAAGAGAGGTTAACTTTATCAAAATTTGTCACTGACAGCTACTCACCACAGCTACATTAGCTACTCAGGAGCCCAACAGGTGAAAGGTCCTCCTTCATACCACCAAGAATTCACACTCCTCAAGTGTAAGCATAGCCCTAGGATTTGCTGAACTTATTAAATTACTTTGTTCATGGAGTGTAGCCTTTAGTGTAGTAAACCTTTGTAGCACGATAAAGATAATATTGAACTTGACTTGTGACAGAGAATTGTAAAAAACCTCAGTGAATCTTGCTGTCAATGACAGCTTCAGCAGTACAGTGTAACATAAATATAACCTTCAATTGTAATCCTCAGGTCATTTAAGTATGGGTGGGTAACAAGGCTAGTTTTAAGAGAAAATCCTGGGTTTTTCGGCCATCACGAACTAAAATAAATACCTGCTTAAAATAAATATCTGTAAAATAATCAACAAAATATAAGAAGAAAAATAAACTACTAAAAATACTTCTGTATTTTCTGAAGAGTTCGGTAAAAAATATTTTATATAACAGATGTTTCCTGGATTTCAGCCATGTAGAAGGGCAGAAGATGAGAAAGGGAGAAGGGAAAAGAGACAAAGGGTGGAAGGGAGACGAAAAGGGAGAAGTAGACAGGCAGGGAGAGAGAATATTTGTATCTAGATCAGCTCTGAAAGTAACGTGTTTTCATACTAATTTTTGAAATAGGAGGAGTTGGACAGGGAATCCTTTCCTTGATGTTTCCAGGATAAACTAATTTAGTTAAATGAAGGAAATGAGGAAATGTAAGTATACATCTCACTAGCAAAAGGTTTCTTTTTACTATGTTAGACAATGTTAAAATAGAATCTCTGTGATCCTACCATGTTTAATAAGACTCACATAGCATCTGTGACTAAATGCAGGTCACATAAAATAACATCTGTAACGCTGCCAATTTCAGTGAGGCTCAAGCATGGTACTGATTAAATGGTGGTCACATAAAATAACGTCTGGACTCTAAAAACCGTGGAACAGATTTGCATTTCAAAGGCACGTACACAAATATATACGTGTACTCGGATTATAACTGCTGGAGATTAAGTAGCAGGAAATTCTTATGTCCTCTAACAAGGTTTAGAATGTTGCAAGGTAGACATAAAGGTGAACAGAAATGTCCAGTGAAATCACAACCTTTACTAACACATAGGAGTGGTGATGTAGCTGCTCGTGCGTGGGAGTGCTGTGCTAGGATGCGTTGTAGTCTGTCTCACAACACTAATGATTAAAGATATTTCCACACTTCAATGTGTTCTCTAAATATCATACTGCTTTTACTGAGTGTTGGAGGGATTTATATGAAAATAAATAAGAATATTTCCCTCCCCTCTCTCTTTCAATCATTTGAAGTGCTGTTACTAAGTAAAAATAAGAAGGACAGAGCACTGCTGCATGACCTGAACTCTCCAAGGGATGGTAAGGCAGGGGAATAACTTCTTCCTGCAGCAAACACAAACCAGAGCTGGGTGTCAAAAATATAGCTCCTCACATCAGCTGCTGCTGCTGCCTTTGGAACCAAGACCTGAGTAAGACCTATTCATTCACATGGGTGGACTGAAAACTAAACATTATCAACTTGTGTTAGATCTGTTTTCAGAATGGTTGCTCATGATGCATGATAAAAAAATTACAGTTTCAGAAATCAAATCAAAGCAAAAAATATTCCTCTTCAAAGTCCTGACAGCCCAAGCCACTTTTTCTAACCTTTAGAATGCCAGGTGCCACACCAAGATATCAGCAAGTTTGTGAAGTCCTGTTTGTCTTCAGTAAAAAACATCCCTTTTGCATCGGTTTAAGAGATAAAGGTTCTTTTGCTTTTTCCTGATAAAGTCATGCTGACATACTGAATGCACACGTCCTGCAGTCTTTCTCAGCCTAATAATGGAAGCGTATAGAGCCAAAACTTAGCTGATGCTTTTCATTTACTTTTTACTTATACAGTAAATCATGATGGTTCTTCTGAATTCTTATTTTTCTTCTCCTGACCTACTTTTTGAACATGAGGTTTTGGGAATACTATTACACGTTTGCCTACCAGATGTCTGGACCTCTGATAAAGTGATCTCTCTCTTCTACACTTGCATAGCTGCTACTTTCAGAGGAATAATAAACTGCCAGCATGAAAAGGCTAAATTTAAATATTTCAGTACAAGGCCACAAGTGAGTGCATTTGTTGAATGCTTCTTTAAAGACTCGACATTATTAGTAGATTAATTTTTACTTCCAAGTTTAGCAGGTTTGCTAGGAGTACTAGCAAGCATATTGACAATATGTACAGTTCTGTCAGCTGTCATCGATTTAGTCCTTTGACCTTTTCCAGTGGTAAATCTTACAAAATGTACTACATTACTGAATTTATTTGAATCAGAAATAGAGTACAAATAACCTGTCAATTATTCTGGCTTCCAGTCCTAGCATGAACCTAAATTTCCACAGTCATTTTGTACTGGCACTTTTGGTACTGAAATGATAGATGTTAAATAAAAATAAATAAATAAATATCTCTCTTTCCCTGTTAACAAGCTTAGAAGTCAAAGTGGTTTTATAAAAGCAAAGATACTCTACTTCTTTACTTTCATCTTTCCTTAAGCTCTCCCTAGTTCACAGACCAGCTTCTGAAGGAACCAAGCAAAATATTTCTGTGACTCACTTCAGTCACTCAGAGAAAAAAGACTTCAACAATCTCACTACTGACATAAAACTTGTAGATGAAGCAGTTAATATATGTGCTACCTCTTTAAGGAAAATATGATACTATAAATTAATAGCAAAACCAAGACTAGCTCACAATTAAAGTAGAAACCTTATGCTGCAGTGTCTACTCTCTGCAAAGATGTGAGCAGGTGTTTTGTTTTGCACATAAAATAGACTCATTAAAATTAATGGGACAATTCACTGTACGTAAGAGTGCACAGAACTAAATCAAAATGATTGGAATCACCAAATTTAATCAGGACTTAAATGAGTCAGCAGAAGAGCTTCACTAAAATCTTCAAGTTTAATCTTGTTTTTCATTTTGTAGAATTTTTTCTTTAAAGAAAGGATGAGTCTTTATGGCTGGTAATTTTTCCTCTCTTACTGCAACCAGGGAACATTACACCAAATACACCTATAAACAGCGGCCAACATAATTGTGTCACTTAGTAAAATTTATTCAAATCCTTAATTTTTACTTTTTATTAAGTATGAAAATAGTGAATGGAGTATTTCTTACTGACAAGTTAATGGTTATTCTTTATCTGTGTCTATGCATACAAACAGAAGATTGTATTTCAGTTTAAGCTAAACAGAAAAGAAAATATTAAACTAATTTTGTAAGGGAGTAATCTCACTTAACTTCACCCATATAAAGTTAAGCACCCAGTCTTGGCAGGCAACGTAGGTTCTGTTTGCACTCAGTGGAGATAAGAGGCAACTTCAGCATGTGATTCCTCTTTTTAATGATGAGGTGATTTGTCTTCTGTAATGGCTATCTTCTCCCTCTCACTAAAATGGGAAGACAAACTTTTTGCTTGGAATTCAACAACTAATGTTAAGTGGAATGATTCTCACTCATATTATTTAATCTAAACACCTAAATGCACTAGAGAAGTAAAAAAAAAAAAAAATCTACCAAATTTAAAGTATTAAATAAATAAAATTATTTCAAATACAAATATCTTCATTTTGCAGGTTAGGTCAGTCTTAAAAATTTTAGAACTAGTAAGCAGTACTTCTCTTGTATTTTAACCATAAATTCTAAATTAAAAATATGACCAACTTTCAGGCTTTTCCAATTTCAGACCATTTCTTAATTTTTAGGGAAAAAAATCACTAAATAGACCTCACTGAATAAACTGAAATAAAATACCTACAGTGAAGATTAGAATATTTCTGTCAGAAGCTTATTTTTCACTTCATCAAACTTATGTTTCAAGTGGTCCATGTTTTAGCTGGCCAATGATTTCCAGTGGTTCATGCAGATATCTTTCTAAAAAACTTGTACCGAAAACACAGTGTACTTAAAAGTGTTTTTTGTTGCTGGCTTTTTTTTCTTTTGTGCTGGGACTTGGCTCTAGGCAAAACAAATGTTCAGAAAGTGCTTGTGCACAGGACCATAGCAGCTTATTATAATTTTATGGTTAGTCATTACAAGAATGTAAGCCAGAGTTAAAAAAAGCATTTTGCAACCTCCACTATAACACATATTCATTCAAATTTTTAAATTTCTTGGGGATAAAAGTATTATTTGTCTGAAATATCTATTTCAGAACATTAAAATAAACAATTAAAGTAGTATTTGTTATTAATTGCTTATTGCATTTCTTATGTCTGATGAAAAACCTATAGAAGTAGAAAAAACAAACAAAACAAAACAAAAACAGATTGAGCATTCTGCCTGCTGGTGCTTCTATTAAGTAGAAAATCACATATTCCCTGCCCCTGAGGTGTTCTGCTAACAATGTGCTCTTTGGATGCTTGCTCTTTTCACAGCAAATTTACAGCTAAAAGTAAAACCAGGCTTATTAAAAACACACACCACCACCACTACCACCACCCAGCTGAAACATCCCTCTCTCTAACTGAGAGAAGGCTCACAATCTCCTAGGAAACACTTTTTGTAAGCCCAGTTAATAAAATGAAGATTTATTGGTGAAATATGCTAGGTTCTTGGAGACCTTCTTCCCACAGATAAAAAAAAGAAGAACACACCTTTCTTTCTGAAAAAGATGAAAAGAAACACGTGATTGGGATAGGGCTGTGATAACAGGTTTAGGATAAAGCAATTGATGCACAGTACCTGAAATTGCAAATACTTCATTTGAGAAGCTACTGCAGAAGTTGTTTATTGTCAACTTTATCTAGACAACACATGAAGAAGGATTCCTATCATAAAATTAATGTGTCATAGCACCAGTTAAAAAATAACCTCCTTCCTAGCTTTAACATTTTGATCTATCATCCTGTTGTAGACACTATGATAACATTAGGAAATGAAAATATATTGAGAAGCTTAACAACCTTGGATTATCCTTGGTGCCTTGCTCTGAACAATTCCAAGTTCTACTGCACTGTTTCTGGGAGAAAGAGACCATGACAGTACACAGTACTCAATGTAAAACTGCCTTGTGAAATGTTGCAATTGCCCAGTGATGTTGTCATGTTTAGCTTTCTATTATTTTCCTAATAAGCCCTATATTTCTATTTCTACAGGACCACTCCTGTGGATGTAACTGAATCTTTCATAGAACTATCCACCATAACCCTTCAGTACTAATGGTCAGTAGGTCAAGGGTCATTTGTGAAGTTAGCTTTTTTTCCCCCTCATAAGCATCACTTTACAATTATTTGTTTCTCTAACTACCTAAGATTAGCTAAAATGATGAACATTGCCAGGCCTCTTCCTAGATCCCTGATCCAGCACTGTGAAAACCTAAACGTCTGATCTTGATGGCATATGCAGGACCCAAGCATTAAACTTCTAGGGTACCTAGTTCCCTGTTTTGGAGCCACACATTTTACTTCCCAGTCTGAAACACAAAGACAAGAATAAAACCTCTGTGCTTGATACTCATAAATGAACAAACAAACAAACAAATAAATTTGCAGTGTAATGCAAGAGAAAGTTTCTGAACTGTTAATTTATACTGTTTAAGCAGTCCTATGTGCTGCTAAGGTTAATATCCGAATGGATTGTCTGCCACATCTCAACATGGATACAGTATTTTTATAATACAAAGGTGATGTTTATATAGATGTTCCTTTTCTCTCAAGCTATGTTTATTTCAGTTTGCGTACTATAAAAAAATCTGTTTTCAGGAATATTACTTTGAGATGTTTCAAGTAATAGCACGGTTCAGAGTGCTTTAAAAAAATTTGATTGGAAAGATTCTAAAACCAGCCACATTTTTGAGGTCCGAATTTTACTAAATTTGAATTTAAAATCTAGAATCACCACTTTGATGCCTGGCAGTAACCTCTGATTTCACTTGCACATCAGTTCAAAAGTATTTTGTTCAAGATTCTATGTAATATTCTTAATTTCTAAGTCTATCCTCAAAAAGACTAGAAATTGCATTTCTGGCACTGATTTGAATAATTTCACACTATTATATAAATGGCATTAAACTATGAAAACCTGTTTGATGTCCAAAAATGCTTGTTAGCCAGGTGTATTAAAATCACCATAAAGGTTGGCGTTTTCTTGTAAAATAAAAAGTAGCAATAATAATAGTGCTAGGAAAATATTAACATTTGAATGATTTTCCTGTGTATGGGTTAATGGTGCATGTGAGCTGACACAGGCGAAATGTCTACCCAGAAAATAAATTCTGAGCATGAAGGTTTTTGTCTACAGTTGTGGAACACGACAACTTTAATCTAAGCCAGACAGGTTACCAAAGACAAGGTAGCTCCAGAGGTGTGCTTGGGATCAATGCATTCTTGGATCACAAAGAATTTGCTGCACTTGCACTTCTGCTGGCAAGGAAGCTAATGAGATTAAACTGAAGTTGTGCATGCCCATGCAAAGGGCAATCACCATCATCTTCTGTGAGGACATATTCAAAGCCTAATGCAAAAGGTTTTGGTAATGCATAATGTTAGGTGATTCATTTTAGCCACATGTAAACAACATAGCAGGAAGAATTCAAATAGAAAAGATAAGTAGAAAATACTTAACACAATGTATGTTAGAAAAAATATTGTGGAACTTACTGTTTGCAAAGCAATGCAAAATACTCAGCGTAAACATTTATAGATGTTTGAGGCTATTAATCATTGCATAGTTTGCTTCCTCAGGGAACAGAATACATATTAACAAAATTCTTCTATTATTAAATCAGAAGGCAGATTCTGAACAGAATGTCGTAAGGGACTGTGTTGACAGAGTACTGAGAACAATGGCCAGCAGGTCAGGCGCTTAGCCTCTTCTGCCATGATGCAAAGCATCATCCATCAAAATATCTAACAAGGTTGCAGTTTAATGAAGAATAGATTTTTGCTTACAATGTAAAGTAAGTGGTAGCAAAAACTATGGTATATTGTAAACAACAAATACATTACACAAAAGACAAAAATCATCATCATGGCTGGGCTTCGCGAACAAAGATTTGGGAAAGACAAAAACACAGCTACTTCATGTTAACAGTTAAACAGTGCAGTTAAACACTGCACATAAACCCACAAATTTTATAAAAATCACTTTACAAATAGAGAAATAAAAAGAAAGAGAATCAATCAACAAACTATTTTTTCTGATAAGATAGTACAAATCTCGCATTTTTACAAATCAACAAGCTATTTTTTCTGATAAGATAGTACAAAGTTTGCATTTTTTTCTTCACAGTCTGGACCAGTAAGCTTTCATCAGGAAAGTAAATAATGTTCATATTATATCCCAACTTCAGGATAGGACTGCCGACAAACAAGACTGGCAACGGATCAAGAAATTATTTTTTCCCAAGATTAGAAAGTGTCAGGAAAGTTGTTCTTAGCAGACTGTTCAATTCCATAACTCTGCTATTGCCCCTTTTTTGCAACAGGCTCCTCATCAGGCTGAGGAATCACAACTTGATTCAGGCGTTCACATTACTTCTAACAAGCATTTACATGCAATATACTGTGGTTTTAATCCTGTGCAGTGAACGGGACTGAGAACAGCAGTCTGTCTATCAGTAGACATCCCTCTGCCTCCAGCACTGAACTTAGGGAAAGGGAAAGCAACAGATTTGGTTTCACAATCAAAAGTTCTAAAAAAGGCAAAATGAGAGCTCTACCTAAGTAAAGACGCCTTAAATAAAAAATAAAAAAAAAAATTAAAATAAAATACATCAAGAACATATTGATTTTTGAAATACTACTTTTGCTGATGGATTAATTGTCTAGCTTGCATGCTCTTCAAGATAAATACTGACTGAAGTAGCAAGATCATCAGGTCATTTGAAGCCCCTGGATGTATTAATTTATATATTAAAATAACAGAAATATAAAAGATCTCTGTGATTGTAAGGCTTAGAAGAATAAGAATGTAATTTTAAATATTTTATAACAATTCTCTTTCAAATATTTATCTGCTCTTCTATAACACATCCCATTTTTTATTCTCCTTTCTTTCTTTTTCCATTTCTTATTTCACTCTGATATAATTTCTTATCTAGTCTTGCAGTTGCTTTTAGAAATGGAATCTAGAGAAAACTCCTGCTGAAAGATAACAACTCTGTTTGCAGATTAAATAGTCTATGAGGAGATTTAGCACATGCAGGGGAGCTGATTCTGCTTGATGCTAAGCACCATCAGTCATGTTCTGAGCATCAACAACCACAGCCAGCATCACTTCGCTTAAAAGTGGCAGAGTTTTGCTGGATCTAACCCTTTCAAAGAAGACAGAAATAAAAGCAAAAAGAAAAATAAAGCCATGGCTTAAATACGAGTTTACAAGGTCATGTAGTGATAGGATGAGAGGTAATGGCTTTAAACTGGAAGAGGGTACATTTAGATTAGATATTAAGAAGAAGTTCTCTACTGTGAGGGTGGTGAGCCACTGGAACAGGTTTCCCAGAGAAGTGGATGTCCCTGGAAATGTTCAAAGCCAGGTTGGATGGCTGTCTGAGAAACCCGATCAAGTTGGTGTCCCTGCCATTACAGGGGGGCTAGAAGTAGATGAGCTTTAAGATACCTTCAAACCCAAGACATTCCAGGATTCTGTGAGTAATGGAAAATGTTGCAATTTAGATGTAATGTAATGTAATTGTGATGAGAATTTTGTATACATCCTAAAGCCAGAATTACCAATGTCATTTTAAATCAAGCATCCGATATTAAATAGTATATGTACTGAAAACCTCACTTTTGTACAGTTGACCTATTCTCTCAGCTTCTAGAGCAGCACAAAAATCTGAAGGCAATTTAAGAAAGTTTCTGAAACTTAAAATAAATATATGTCATAATAAAGTGACAGGTAAACATTAAGAAAAAAATTTGTATGCTCTAGTACTCTTCTCAAAGCCAATTAAATTAATCAGAGAGTATTTATTAAAAAAAAAAAAGTTAAAATTTAGAAGAAAAAAGAAATTACTGGATTTTCTTTGATTCAGCCTCCCAAAACATTCCCTCATCTCTGACAATAACATACAATATGAAGCAGTATTTCCCTATAGAATATTCTACTTAGACTTACCTAAGACAAAAACCAAACAAACCTCAAATCACAAAAAATCCACCAAAACCCACAAAACCAAACGTACAAAACAAAAACCCCTACCAAAACGAGAATGGTTTTCTAAGTTTTTGAAAATAGGCATACTGAATTATATGCATTAAATTTGGTTAAAGCTGAACCAGCCTCAAGGAAGCACCTTTTCTCTACTTTCTTAACATTCTGTGAGTATTTGTCCATGTTTAAAGCTAAGATATACAGGTGTTCAGACTTTACAGTGGTGGGAGAGACAAAAACAGTAATAAGTCTCAGTCACTGAAATAAGCACTGCACAGTTTCTAGAGTTTTTATTTCACAGTATTTATCTACTGTCCTGACCACAGAGGAGAAAAAAACCAGATAGAGATTTATTTCACTTAACTTTTGCAACTCAGAGTTACTAGTTATATTTAGTCTGAATTAGGTGCTTCAGCTCTTACAATGTTGAAAGACAGACAACACACCAGCAGACTCAGAATTTTATTTGTCCCAGCATTTCACACACCTGCCTTAGACTGGGCTGACTCAAACCTTGTGGTACTTACCTCTCCCTACTGGTTACAAGTTGATCCTGGATAATAAACCAATTAGACTCAGGCTAACCCAGCTCTATAGGCAGTTACAGTTCATGAAATGATTTCCAAAAAAATAAGTCAGACCCATACCTAGCAACAAATTTATGCACCCAAGATATACAGACTTGTTGATTTTGACCACAGTAATCTGGCAAACATCATAAAGGAAAAAAGGAACAAAGCAAATCTCACAAGTATGAGAAGTCCTTGTCTAGTATTTTACTCAGGGGATCATTCTGCCTTTTGCAGTTGCACAAATTCTTAAATCAGGCCACCTTATTTTCACAGGACTACAGGGCATTTACTCAGTAGGAGTGCAGCTTACACAACTATCAAAGTGGAAATTAGTGAAATAACAAATTGGCTCTGCTCAGGAACATTAAAACCACCTTTTTCTTCCCTGCCACCCCCCCTGAAATCAGATTCTCCTTTGTTTATGGACACATATCTATAGCCAGCATACAAGTAAATACAGGATTAGAATATTCTTTTAAGGGTATGCAGAAATGTTCAGAAAGTGATATTTAGTTATCACTATCAACCCTCTTAACCTGCATGTTACGTAAGTCAGGTTTCTGTAAACTCACTTAGCACAAGATCCAGTGTCACTTTCACATTGAGTCCAACTCCGCCTTCCTGCCCTTCTTGAAAATTTGGACAATGTTCACCAGCTTCCAGTCAACTGGGATCTCTCCAGATTCCCAAGACAACTCAGAAACCATCGAGAGAGGTTTTGCGATGACATCAGCCACCTCTTTGAGAATTCTTGGATGAATCCCACCAGGCCCTATAGATTTGTAGGGATCCAGCTGGAGCAGCAGATCCTGCACAATTTCAGGATTGACTGGGAGTTTATCATTCTTGCAGTCACAGTCCTCCAGCTCAGGGCACTGAAACCCCCTTGGTCTGTCATCTGTGTTGAAGACAGAGGTATAGTAAGCGTCAAACAGCTCTGCCTTGTCTCTGTCCCTGTTTGTGAGGTGACCATCCTCATCCTGCAACAGGCCGATGGTATTTCCATAGTGCCCATCACCATCCATGTATTTGAAAAACTCTTTTTCCTGTCTCCCATACTTCTGGCCAGTTTCAACTCCAGTTGAGCTTTGGCTGCACAGGTTTTCTCCCTACAGTGGTAAGCAGCATCTTTGTATTCTTCCCACATCACCTGACCTTGCTTACACTGGGCATTCACCTTCCTTTTTTGACTTATTTTGAAGAGAAGATCCCTGCTCAGCCAAACCAGCCTTCTGCCTCACCTGCTTGACTTCTGAAAGTCGGGAATTGCTGCTCTTGTGCCCTTAGGAGGTGATGTTTAAAAAGTGACCAGCACTGATGGGCCCCAGCACCGGCAAAAACATTTTCCCGGGGACCTTACTCACTAACTCCCTGAGCAGCCTGAAGTTTGCTCTCCTCATGCCCAGAGTTGAGGTTTTGCTAGTACTTTTCCTGCTGTGAAAAGATTTTAAACTCAATTGCCTCGTGGTCACTGTGGCAAGATGGCTGCAAATCTCTACTTTGCTCACGAGATCCACTCTGTTGAGAAGCAGTAGATCAAGGAGGGCATCTTTTGGAGTCAGCTCTCTTAGGATCTGTTCCATAAAGTTGTCCTCCAGCTTTTTCAGGAATCTTCTGGCCCAGGCTATACCAAGTGTGTGATGCTTACAGTTAATTTCTGGGAAGCTGAAGTCCCCCAAAAGGACAAGGGCAGTTGACTTGGGAGTGTCACTTAGTTCCTCAAGGAATAAATCATTGATGTTGTTGTCCTGGCTGGGAGGTCTATAGTAGACTACCACAATGACATCCACATTACTTGTTTGTCCCTTGATTCTTACCCAGAGACTCTCCACTGTGCCATTGCCAACTGTGAGCTCCATACATTCTAATCCTTCTATTACGTACAGTGCCACCCCTCTGCCTCTTCTGCCCTGCCTATCCCTCTGAAGAGCCTGTAACCATCTAACAGGGCACTTCAGCCACAGGACTCTTCTCATCAGGTTTCACTTATGCCAGTGATGTCAAATCTAAGAGACTGGGCTAAGAGACTTCAAGCTTCTCCTTTGTTCCTCATGCCACCTGCATTGGTGCAGAAACATTTCAGGTGTGGGTACATTGTAGCCAACACCATCTGCAGCAGATTGAGGGATCATATTAGTGCTCGTTTCCTCAAGTTTTGGCACATCAACCCATCGCTCATCATAGGTGAGCCTTCTCCATTCCAAGCTAGTTTAAAGCTTTATCAACAGGCCCTGCTAGCTCTCGTGCTAGAACTCTTTTTCCCCTCTGAGATAGGTGCATCCCACCAGGTGTCAGTAGATCAGGGATTGAGTAGATTATCCCATGGTCAAAAAACCCGAGCAACTTTGGAGATTTGCATTGATTGGATAGATCTGCCTAATCCTATCATTATTATTCCCTGTTACCAAAAGGATCAATGAAATCACTACCTATTGTCCTGATCCCTCTACCAATTATCACAGGGCCTTGGAGTCTCTTTTGTTTTTTGTCTTTGGTTGAACCTGTACAAAAATATATCTTGCTAGGGATCCATCACAGCACTAAGACAGTCAGGTGTACACCCTGAGATGTAGTACAGATGATGCTAAATAGTAACCCTTCTTCCTGCCCATCTCTTCTGTCTACCTCTCCCTATTCAGCAAAACATTTCAGACACATCTCATTTTCATGAACTCCACAAGCTTAAACTTAGTTTTAAAAACACTGATGTACTACTGTGCTGATTTAGAAAAATCCAGCAGCCTTGGATTCAACAATACAGAAAAAAGAAGCAGGACAGATCACTATGAACACCTGGAAGTGTCCCAGGTTTGACTTTCAGGAGGCAGGCATGTGTACATGTCTAAACCACTCATGCAGTTAAAGCTATATCATCGAGTTATTAAATTTTTAATGAATACACATTTCTGAATGCTACAGTAAAGCTGGTGATTTCAGATACATTAATTGAGAGAGCTTCATGCTGAATACATCCTCTGCTTAAAATGCTGTTAACAATGTCATATGTGCAAATGAATGCAGTCAATCCATCAACAGTGGTTTTTACTGTGTTCTGGGGCAAAGCACAGGCAATCAAACAATACCAAGGGGAGAAGTGAAAGTTCTGTTCTTCAGTTTGCAGTGCCTTCCAAGAGAGACTGAGAGTCTCACAGTTCCTTGTCAGC